TTTTATTTATATACAATCAAGTTAGTTAATTTTGCATTAATTACTCTTACCGATTACGATACAGATCGCGGGCTTTCCCCCGTTGAACGGATTCATTGCCGGTAAAAGCTGCTCATTAAGAAATTGTATACACGAATTCGCGTCAAATCTTTCCTCTGGATTTTTCATCAGTTGGTTAGCTATAAGCCCGTCACTCGAAATAGCTGATATAGCCTATCTCTACATGGGAAATTGACATCTGCTTCGTGTGCGAGACATGGTTGAACAGTAAGATATTATCAAATTTAGTATGTCCCAATAACTATCTTATTGTAAGAAAAGATCGCGGCGATGGTCGAAATGGAGGAGGTGTTGCTATAATTTGTCGGGAAGATTGGAAATATAAATCTCTAAACTTTCAAAATAATTTGGAATGCATCTGGTGTGAAATTGAGACAGCAAATAGCAAATACTATGTCGCCTCTGTGTATCACCCTCCGGACCCCACATATCAGGAAAGCGAATTACTAAATCATTTATCAGAGAGTATAGAGCAAATTCTTCAGTGGGAATCAAATGCCAGAATTATAATTGGAGGAGATGTTAATCAACTGAAGGTTAAGGATATTATAAGTCAACATAATATGGAACAAATGGTGAGAAAACCTACAAGAGGTCAGAAAATACTTGACATTTTCCTAACTAATTGTCCACACTTATGGAATCACCCTAAAGTCTTTGATGGCTTAGTAAAATCTGACCATTTGGCTGTCGTGATAACTCCACGGGTAGCTGTAAAACCGGAAAGAAAAACAGTTTATTTTAGAGATGCAAGAGACCATCGAAAGTTTGCTATGGTGAGAGAGTTGGAAGCACAAGACTGGAGCTGTATTGATGACTGTGAAGACGTGAACGAATCAGTTATGTTATTAAATCATATTATCACTTCTGCATTCAACAACAGTTTTCCATTGATTAAGATAAAATTATCCACACGGGATCCCCCATACATGTCTCCTCTGGTAAAACATTTATGTAAAATACGCAATAAAAGTGTGAGGAATGGAGTTAACGAAGATCTACAAAGAAAGATAAATAAGCTTATCCGAGAAAATATGGTTAGTGAAGTTAAGAAGGAGAATGGGAAATATGCATCTGGTTCGAAGAAATGGTGGGACACAGTTAATAAAATCACCGGTAGGAAGGCAAATCACACCAGTATAAATATTGATCCAAGTGTTATAAATAGTTATTTCCAGACAATAAACACTGATGATAATTATACATATCCTGAACTCGTTCCTATACCCAATGAGACTAGAGTACCAAATGTTGATATACCCACTGTAGAAAGGTTTTTGGAAAAACAAAAGAAAACATCAACAGGTCCTGATGGCCTACCCTATTGGGTATGGAAAGACTTCGCAAAATATCTAGCACCAGTGATAACAAAGATATTTAACATGTCATTGGAACAGCAACGCGTTCCCCTCCTATGGAAATTAGCCAATCTTAATCCAATACCTAAGGAAAGCCCCCTTATAGAATGTACACAATTAAGGCCTATATCTCTTACGAACGTAATAATGAGATTGTTCGAAAGAATAGTGTTTAAAAAAGAGATCTCATCAGAACTAAAACAATTAATAAAATCTGACCAATTCGCATATAAGGAAGGTACCAGCGCAACTGATGCTCTTATTATGTGTCACCATAAATGGCTAAATTGGCTGGATGGTGATGTTGATCATGTCAGGGTGATTTCATTCGATCTCAAGAAAGCCTTTGATTCTGTTTCTCACAACATCATTTGCAAGAAGCTAGGAAAAACCAACATTAATCCATATGTAATAAATTGGATTAGAAATTTTTTGACTGATAGGAGACAAAGAGTAATAGTAAACGGAATAGAAACAAATTATGTAGACATAAACAAAGGAGTACCGCAAGGCACAGTTCTTGGACCATTTCTATTTTCCTTAATGATAAATGATCTAACAGTCAAAGATCCAAATAACAACATACTAGTCAAATTTGCAGATGATATGACTGTTAGCGCTCCAGTGAAAAATAATTATGACTCCGCACTAGCTGAGGTAGACAATATTGAAAAATGGACGGAAACAAACAGAATGTCATTAAATCTAGATAAAACATGGGAAATGGTTGTAAGTGGCAAATCAACAAATCCTTTACCAGAACCAATAACGGGTATCGAACGCAAGACTTGGCTGAAACTATTGGGAACCACACTGCAGAATGATCCAAATTGTTGGGACCTTCAAGTTAATAATTTGATATCTAAAGCTAGCAGTCGAATGCACATTTTGAGAATATGCAGATCGTATGGCTACTCTAAAAAAATTTAACAATTCTCTTCGACGCACTTATTATGTCTTTATTTTCTTATGGAATCGAAGTATGGGGTTCTGCACTTGAAAAGAAGTACCAGGAAAGGATTGATAAATTTCTTAGGCGAGCATACAAATATGGATACACAACAAAAAGTGTTCAGATAATTGATGTGATTAAAGAAAGAGACATGAGTTTATTTGAAAAAATATGTAGCAACCCAGACCACCCTTTATACGAACTACTTCCTCCTAAAAGACAAAGACCGTTAAGAGAACGCGAACACGATTTCATATTACCTAAGGTTAAAACAGAAAGATTCAAACGGTCGTTTTTAAATAGGTGTCTTTTTAATAATTTTAGCTAAAATAATTAACTTAGATACATAATAATAATTTAGTCTTAGTCTTTTTAAGAATTCTACCTAAGAATAATTAACTTAGATACATAATAATAATTAAGTTTTTTTTTTTTTTTTTGGAACCTTGTATGTGAGAATTTTAAATGTAAAGTCACACGTCTGTTGTGGCTATGTTTAATAAAGACTTAATAATAATAATAATAATAATAATAATAATAATAATAATGAGGTGCCCACCGAGCATATATAGCTGTAATCACGGACGACGGGAAGTGTTCCACGAGCGCTATAACCATATTGTCGAGTTATCCGTTTACCCTTTAAACAAAAGTACAACTAAATAAATATAGGAATGTGATCAGTTCTTGTATAATTATTTATTGTTAGCCTACATACAATGCCAGTTTCATCGACGAAAACTAGTTGGTTTGGGCTAAATATACGCTGATTTCGGCCTTGGATTGTTGCCTGAGGTTCTCGTTTTGCTGAAGAGCAACTCTCTGTATCTGGAGAAAACGAAATCAGTTTTCAAAATTATCACATTTTTTTATTATAAGACGTATTAAACATTGCTCATAGGCCGGATCGGTGTAACAACATGTGTGTTATGGCACAGCCACACTAACTTATTGAAAATGTCACAGCTTACCTTCTTACGCGTTATTCCAAGCCTATATAGAGCACGGCATAGCGTCTTCGGCCCAAACGCTGATCCAGTGACATTGGCGATATTATCAGCCACTTCATGGAGCTGCATTTGCGGGTTGCGAAGTATACAATCCATTATAATGTATTCTTCATGGGGAAATAGCTGTTTCCCGTCGGGCGACCAAGAGACGGCATGGTTTCACATCACCCGTGTTTACAAAAGTTCTAACTGTCCGATAGACGGTTTTCGAACAAACAAATAATTGTGAAGCTATGTCCTCATAGCTTCTATTATAAAAATATCGTTGATATATCATCCTCCAGCGTAAATCATTCGAATAAGGCCTTGGCATTGTGGAAAATTTCACCACGCTAATCGAACACGCAATTACCGCGCACGCCCCACGAATACCAACGAATAAATACATGTCACGTGATCGATATTTAGGTATTTAGATATATTTGATCTGGACAATCTTTTTGGCAATGACTGTATATATCTATATATATATCTATATATATATATATATCTATATATCTATATATATATATATATATATATATATATATATATATATATATATATATATATATATATATATATATATATATATATATATATATATATATATATATATATATATATAACAACAACAATGAAGCTCAACAATGAAGCTCAGTAGGTAGCTCAGTTGGTAGAGCGTCGATCTAGTAATTCGAGGGTCGCGGGTTCGGGGCCCAGCCGCGGCAGACAACATCTTTCTGCTTGCGCTGGGTATGGAAATTATATAATACACACTCTAGAACATTTTCATCTTAATATATATATATATATATATATATATATATATATATATATATATATATATATATATATATATATATATATATATATATATATATATATATATAAAGCCATTGCCACTTGTCTTGTTTGATAGTGTTTCTCACTTACTAGATACATTGGCTACGCCATGTGTAAGATTGGTGACTTGAATCAGAATGATTTGATGACAGAGAAAGAAGTCCATACTGTGTTGAATATTGGCAAACCAAGGATGCAGAAAAGTGGGTCTGCCAGTAGCATGAGTAGCTTGGTTGATAGTGGAGATGAAATGCCTTCGATTTACGATGGATCAAGCGGTGCAGAGGTATAATAGAGATAATTAAACTAACTTTTTTTTCTAGACACCTCAATGAGTTCTAAACTTTTCCACTAAAGGTCCCGTTGATAGTCGAGTGTAGTTGTCACTATAGAAAACTGGGAAAACTTGTTATATTTTCTCGACTTTTTAAACTATACCTGACATCTCGTCACTATTCTTCAGGGGCCGGTTGTTCAAAACTGCAATTAGCTTAACCCTAGGTTAAACCTATAAAATTCAAAGAAAATTTCCTGACAGCTTGTCTATAAATTAGGAAATATTTTTTCAGAGATCTTGTCTGGATCAATAGGAGTTTTCTTCTCTGAAGTTTTGAAATAAACAGACGTGCAGAAATACACAAACTAAAACAGCATGTTAAATTTTAATCCAGGGTTAGCGCTAACCCAGCTTTGAACAACCGGCCCCAGTACATTCCAGCTTGTCTCTTACCTGTTTCATTTGTCTTTTTCTCATTCAGGAGCTTGCTGCTCTAGTATCATTTACCAGCAGGCAATTTTAAGAAATATAAGAAAAAACATACTCGGAATAATTATGCCATCCTGCGAACTCAGGATATGAGTTATTCAAAGAAAACACGACATAAATTATGGTGGTGATATTTTGACTCTATTTCAGGGTCGTTGTCAAACCAAACTAATTATTTACAAACGTGCATGCTCAGATCTTTAAGAGAAATAGGAAGATGACATAATCAAGTGGAACGGAAGACAGAAATACGAGGCGCGATATTTACAAACAAATAAATTACGTTTCTTTAAATAACTCGTATCCTGAGTTTACAAGATGGCATTATTATTCACATTATACACATCTTCACTGATATTCTCCTGCCCAAGCAGGCAAGATAATGAACCTTAAAGTAGCAACGAACAATAGGGATTACAGTATCAAACGACCGGAAACATTTAACAAGAACGTCGACGTTTCGAGTGACGGCCCCATTCATTCTATGAACCTTCTTGCTCGACTTAGGGTGACAAAACAAGGAAAACCAAAGCAACCGTTCGTTTGGCAAAGGACTGGGAATATGTGGCTGGAATGGAACCAATGATACTAGTGTCACTGCATTATGATAAAACCAAGCAGAGTCTGCTTTTGGCTATTATTAAAGTCGCAAATCTAAAGGCACTTCCCAATGACAAGATGCCAGGTAAAATTCATCCGTACACAATATATGTAGTTGATCAACATGATAAGTGAAGCTAGAGTGTATTCACTCAGAGACTGCATACGTCCGCCAGTGAAAGTTAATTATATTACGCAAGTTTAATTAAATTATCTTACATTATGAATTCAGTTATCTCATAACGCCCGGAGATAAAAGAAAAAATGTTATAACATTTCCAAAATTGGTCAATTTGTTTTAGCCTGCGGTCCGATAAGCTCCAAGACGTTCTATCGATCACTGTTGGATATCTATCAAGTTATCCTTCTAACATGCAGGCAAACAAACAAGAACACAAACAAACATGGATAAGGAAAATTGTTCCAAATTTAAAGTTAAACTGAGAATCGTTAGAGGAGTGCATATTAGAAATTTTTCTATATCATAGAAGAAGCATGCATGAATTAAAATATATTTATCCATTGCAATAATTATGTTAAGCCCAATGAAATTGATTTTATTCAAGTACATTTGACGTTGTAATAATATTAGAATAATCTTTATATTTTAATTCCTTTCGTATTTTCAGATCCCTACGTGAAAGTGCACATCCTGATACGAAACAAGACTAAATTGAAAAAGAAGACAGCAGTGATGAAGCAGGAGCTGAATCCAGTATACAACCAAAAACTGGAGTTCCATGTTGCAGCCAAAGATCTGGAGAATGTGAAGCTTGTCTTGGCCATCAAGAATCATGTTCCAACACGAGGTGGTACTCTGCGTGGGAGACCTGCATCTCTTCATGAAGTCGTGTTTGGTGAGCAATCAACTGGTTCCTTCTTGGAACATTGGAAGACCGCCATTACCACCAACAAGCCGGTAGCTAAGTGGCATATCCTTTAGTTCATAACTTGACCCAATTTACTTTGTCTTTGAGAATCATATTTGATGTGTAGTCATTTGTGATAGAGATAGTCTATACAAAGTGTAGTTCTGAACTTTTATATAACAGTTTTAAATGTATTTACGGACCATTCATCGTTAACATAGAGACGAGGAGGGGGGGGGGCGAGCTAAAAGCGGAGAAAGCTAAAATGTGCGTTTCTCGTCCCTTTGTAGGAGAGAAGAAAAACATACAGCCCATCTTTCCTGCATTGCCCCTGAAAGTGTTTTTAATAAAAACAAACCAGTTCCCCCGCCCCTCCTCCCTCCTATGTTAACAATATGATGGTCCCGTCCTCCCGCTTTATCTATAATCCTAATTCCAGTAACGTAAAAATGCCTACTGGATAGCATAATTCATTTTTCATAATTCATTTTTCAAGTTTAAATTTCTACTAAAATACGCTCGAAAAGTTATTAATGACTGACATCTAGCTATATTTTCCCCTTGCCGTGGGAAAGATTTAATTGCGAGGTATACCTGCTATGTGATGCCTGACGAGGAGGCTATTGGCTATTGCATATCTTTAATCAAAGCTCGGATTTCCCCTCCAGCAATTTCTGCTTGTAGTGGGGGTGGATAATGAAAGTATTCTGCAGTTAGTGGAGAAAGCACCATATTGACAGGATGTGTAGACTTTGACACAAATATAATATCAGATATGGAGGCATCTGTGACAACGCTAACAGCCAAAAATTTGGAATTTCTGACATTTTATTATAAATTTCTATTCTGAGAGATGCCTCCATATCTAATATTTCATATCTGATATATTACTTGTGTCAAAGTCTACCATCCTGTCAATATGGTGCTTTCTTCACCAACTGCACAATTATTGCAAAATTGTCCGCTTATCCGCCCAACTATTGATATTAGTGGACTTGTCAATGTGTGCCATGTTTTAGCCGATATAAACATCCATATATACCTCAGCCGGCGCCATGCATATTTCAAAAATGCAATATTTTTTATTACATTAGGCTACTAATTACTAGTCTTAGATTGCCATTATATAATGTGGTTGTGTGTAGAATATGTTATAGAGATGAGCCGATCATAGAAAATGCCGATCAGTTTGATGGACGACCATACAAAATAATCAGACAATACAAAATAATTATTATTATCATTCACTTTATAGTGTTCTCAATTTTGATTGGTTAATTTACCTGCAAATAACTGCGTGCAAATAATAGTCTGAGCATGCGCATTTGTTAAAAACGTTGCTCAGCTACAAATAATAGTCTGAGCATGCGCATTGCCTTCAATTTTTGTAAACAATGGCGGCTCGCTTTGCTGAACTTTCGGAAAATGAGTTGTCTTGCTTATTTAAAAATAAAAAAGCAACTAAAACCGCCGTCAATGTCTTTCGCCAGCATTTGGAAGCAAGACTAAATCAACAAAGACGATTT